CCAGACCACAGCTGCTCTTCCACTCTGACCAGAGAGTAGGATGGTTCCTGGGATGCCAAGCCAGTGTCAAGGAAGACAACATCTTCCACTCCAGAAGAAAAAGGAATGGATGGGAAAAAGTGTTCCCTGGCAAGCTGTACAAAAGGATTTGATGCAGGCCTGGAATGGAGATGGTGGCTTCTCAGGGCGGTCTATACCAAGGAACTTAAGCTGTAAAATCTGCATCAGAATTTCAACAGGGAACAAACTCTGCTGACCTTTCAAACAAGTTGGGTTAAAGCAAAGAAAGCCATCAAACCGTATTGCTTAAATACTGGAAGGGAGCATGTACAGTTAAGTTACAAAGGGGCTTTAAAACAGGGCAAAGCACAGAAGATTCCTTATATTTTTGCAGCAGTCACTTGGCTTGCACCTCTAGAAAAGCTGACATGAAAAGGTGCCTAATGGAGAGATGATGCAGACTAAAGTGCCAAGAGGGGACTGTTTGAGAAGGGTGGTGAGCAGCATCAGCAGTGAGCCAGCTTGAGGGTCAGGCTGGCTGTCAAGAGCAGGCAGCTGTGCCCAGTGCTCCCAGCCCACACTCCACAGCCCTCTGACACCACCTCTGAAATGGAACAATTAAGATTTCTAATAGTAAGAGATTATTAACACTCATCAGATTCAAGTATGAGCTGGGCACTGCGGCAGGGATTCCAGGTCCTTGCCAGGGGAACCCATGCATCGTAACTGTCTCCTAATTAGACTCCCGAGTTCACAGTTTTGATGGGTTGTTACCTACTTGAATCCTAAAGATCTAGATTTAGCACCAAGGAAGGTCTGCGGAAAGAAACTGCTATGTGCTCCCTTTTAGTTTCATCTTCTAAAAGGAAAGATCTCTGCCACTGATGCCTCCTGGACAATCTGAATCTTGGAGTCAGGATATGACATTTCTTCAAACAGTGTCTCATTGCACTCCATATCTGTTCTCTGCATATAAATACAGTATGTATTTATATATTAACTGTACCTACACCTGAACATGAGGTGAAGACCTGTCAGAATTGGTTCCATTTCTTGCTTTGGGCTTACCAGCTAATTTACAGATGCCTACAGATACTGATATCCATCTCACCACTTTCCTGATATTTGTAGCTTAAGAGTGAAGACATTGTCTAATTTAGGATGCCAACCTTGCAAATATGACAGCTCTGTGACTATACGGCCTCTCCAACCCAGCTGCCTTAGCAAACCTAGCCAGAGGTAACCTGATCTGCTGGCTAGTGAAGGGACCCTGACTGGAGATTAATTTAACAGGCTTAAGGAAGTGGTAAATCCAGATACCAAGAGAGAAGGATAGATTCCATTTCTAACACCAAAAGTATTTCATATGGGATCTCTGTGTCATGACAGTCTCCTCCAAATGACTTTATTTCAACCAGCAATAATAGCCATAAATGATATGCAATTTTAGATTAAAGCCAAGGTTTAGGTTTATAACCAGAACTGAAATGCCACTTATTTTCTAACTTCTGTTCACTTCAATTTTGCCTTACTCTCTCTCAACACTCATTAGCTGACCTTTTATATTCTTGAGTGAAATCCTCACAGTATTTGGGGGGGTTGAAGACTGTCCCATTTCCCTAGAAGCACATTCCCAGCAGGTCCAGATTCCTGCCTGGCAATTCCAGAGACACATAATATTAAACAAGCACACAGAGGAGCAAGGCTTTGCCACGGGTTACAAGAAAAGGACACTGAAACTGGGTAAGCCAAACTCTCAGCACTGCCAAAGGCTCTACAGGAAAAAACTACAGTAAATATTCACTGGCAGTTGAGGAAGAAAAATGGGCATTTTGTCCCCTGGTCTGAGCAGAGGAGCAGAGGCAAGAATCACAGGTTAATTCTGCTCTGAACTTGGAAGTCACAGAAGCAAAAGGGACCATGGATCCCTTGTTAATCTTCCCCTTTACAGCTAAACCTCTGCGTGGCTGTAGCACAAGGTATGTGCTTATTGACATCCAGGTCAGACATTTTAAGAGCTACTTGGAGGAGCAATGGTGGGAGGGAATTACATGAAAACAAGTTCCTAATTGCTGTTCTGTTTCTGGTTGAGGATCACACAGTGCTCCTAAGCTAATTAAAGATTTTAGCAAATGCACAGCCCTGTTGCAAGTGTCCCATAATTTCTAAAGCGGAATAAGTAATTTCCAGTGAATAACTCAGTTGCATTCTGCCTATGAAGCACATACAGATCCCTGTGTCCTCAAATTACTCCTGGTCAATTAAACTTCACGAGTTCGACTTTACAAGCTGCAAATATCTGAAATCTGAGCTGCTGCTCAGGGGTGATATTGATTCTCTCTCGCCCTGGTTGAGTGCACACGCTTGTCTGTGAACACGTATTTAACAACTGAAAATCCATCTTCTACAAATATACGAGTGTAACTGAAATTTGTTTCCTTCATAAATTTTGGCTACTCAAATTCAATTACTGAAGTTAGGCCTTAATTTGATTTTATTTTTGTATTACACAAGCACCTAGAACCAAGTCCAGCCAAGCTAAGGTACTCTAGGTACTACTGAAGCAGTCTGGATCTTGCAAATAAATGTGCTAGAGCTGCATAAACATTTCAGAAATGGAAATACGTTTATACCCAAAAGAAGTTGCAGATTTTTAGTTGCATTTCTTCACATATTTTTATGGCTACTGAATAGTCACAGAAAGATTCTGCGTACCCCAGGAGACTAATATAAATTACAAGGCGACACAAACTCTTTCCACAAAAAGCATGTAACAGTGTTCAACAGTAATTCAAGCCTCTGCTGAAGCTGTTTCAGCCCTCAGAAATGAGAAAATTCTTCATTACTTCAGGCAACCAATTAGGCATTTTAAATAGAAAACATGGGCTCAAACCCAAAGTGCAGCTGACCCAGCTGGGGGTTTGTGATATTTGGTGAGTACTTTGGTAGTGAAGCTACAGAAGTGAAAAGCAGGTTAACTAAGGAAAATAGGAAAACAGCACACGTGGTGTCAGTGGTACCTGCCTGCACCAGGAGGAGATCTCATGAGCTTGTGGACAGCGGGTCGGACGTACAGCATCTCGGGAAAGCACAGAGCTGGTACAAGTTCAGGTGAGCAGCTCGGCAGTGATTTATTGCCTGCAGAAACTAAGACACAGCTCTTGTCACATCTCTTGAACACACTACCTCATCTGAAGACAGCAGGCTTGCAGTGTCCCTCCTGGACCTTCCGGAAGGAGGGTCCCCCTCTGTGGACCACCACACTATTTCAGAGCACGGATGCAGCTGCAGCCAGGAGCCACGAGCACCACAGAGTGCCAGGCTGTCACTCCTGTTTTACGAGGACTGTGGTGCTTTTCAGGCTGGAAATCTCTGCATTTGGAGCTAAATTCTGCAAATAGTGTTAGGTACAATGGGAATGTAAGGTCTACACCCGATTTTCTTTGTTATACCCTATACTTCCACTGCTCAGAGAGAAACCGTATTTAGATTTTTTCCATTCCCCATGCCACCAGACCCCAATTCTAAACCAATCCACTCCAGCTGGCCAACATGGTAAAAATTGCTTAATTTCAGCTTTAGTGAGTTTTGGCTAACCTTTCCTTCAACCTAAGCCTCCTAATTTTGAAACCTTTTCTCTAAACAAAAAACTTCAGTCTTTCTAAACCCCACCTCATTTATTCAGAATTAAGAGGGTTTGAGTTACTGAATGCAGCTGTTTCTGTCCTTCTTGGCTTTCTAGTGGCCTCAGAAATTTGCCACATGGAAAGGCTACTTAATGCAGACTGTTTATAAGCTCAAAAATAGGATCTTGAGACAGAAAGACATTGAGCTTTGGACAAATAAATTGAGTTGGGAGTGTGCAAATTGCTTATATTGTAATTGTTTATCTAGATTCCTTCACTAAATGGTCAACGGAAGATGCAAACAGGTCTGGAGGTACCTTAGTTAAAAAGAGATCTCTTGAAGCAATAGGGTTTTTTGCTTGTCCAAGTGGCAGTTCGGTCATCATCCACTTGGTTTTGAGAACAGTGAAATTTAAGAGCAGTAAGACACAACCACCAGGAAGACAAAGCAAGAAGGAATCCTGGTGATGCACACAAGGTACATGATATGGCTGTGCTAACCAAACTTAACCAGGCTTAAGCTATGGTTATCAAAACAGCTGACAAACTAGTAAACTCTTCTATCCCACAGTCTGAAACACAGAGGCCAGTGTAAAAAGCTGTGAAAGAGAGAAACAAACAGAAACCAAGTAAACCCCCTGCACTATTTCTCTAATCCACCTGAGCTGGGAATAACCAGGGTCTGGCATCTGACACAACCAAGGTGCAGACACTGTGTGAGGTACAAACATCCCAGCAATTTTAGTTACCCTGCTCTGAGACCACACGAATCCCAGGCACAAAAGTTCTTTCTGCTTTGTGCAGATATGCATTTAGTTTGGCTTTCCTTCCCTTCTCCAGAGCTTTCTTCTACAAGTTAAGGCTTGAAAGTAAAATTAAAAGATACAGTCGCTTGTTCCACATGTCGTGCAGGAGCTAACCCAGACGTGCTGCCTCCCACAATGTTTCCTTCCGCAATCCCTGACTTTAAGATTGTCACACAAGCAGCATTCAGCATCTGCCCCCACTGATGTCACCAGACTTTTAAAGCACTGCCACGAGCAGACTTGTTGGCTTTCCCTTTGTATTTCGAGTTATAAACAGGATCAGGCAGGACTTTTAGGCAGGATGGTCTCAGTAATCTCAGTAATAGAAGAGAATATAGAAAAACAGCTGGAAAGCACTTCCTGGGAGCAAACCTGGAGCCCTTCTGCTTCCCATTGGACCCTTGCTGCTCTTACTAAATTCAGGAGAATCTCAGGCTCTGGCATACTCTGAGCTCTTCCTTTACACTTCCAAGGAGGTAACAGAGCATAAGTGTTACAGCCTTCTTGCGTTCTTTCAGAAGAAGACTTATACTTTATTTCTTATTTTCAACTTACACCTTATTTCTTCCCAATGCCCATGTTCTTCAGCCTGCCAAAACACCTCTTGGCAGCATCTTTCAGTCAGATGTATATCACAGCTTCCCTGCCATGGCGTTTTGGCCTCATTTAGTGTCTAAGCCCCACAGAGCCCCTGCAGAAGGGGAATCCTGGTTCAGTTCTGATGTGCTGCTCTCCTGCTTCCCAACATGCAGCTGCTGTCGGCTTGTCCTCATAAGAGCCCTGCAATTTCAGTTGCATCTGTTCTGATTAAATTCACCAGATAGGCAAAGCTCTTCTGCCCTTTGAAAGTTATTGCCTTCCAATAACCTAATAAAAGAACCATCTGGAAACCTTTAGAAGTTTAGATACGTCCTATTTGATTTTCTGTATGAAGGGATGAGGAACAGGACTGCAACAGTATGGGAGCTGGAAGCAAAAATGTTGTTCAAACTCAGGAGCTGCAGATCCCTGCTATTAACGCCGTGTCTGAGCAGCGCCCTGCTACCTCTGTGATGAATGAGATTACTAGAAATTCTGTGACCATTAGGACCTCTTACCTCTTTTTCTGCAAATTCCATGGGACATCACTGCTCACCACACCCTCGTCTACACACAGAACTAAGCAGCTTCCTTACCATACAAAATCATCCACGTGTTTAATGCTACATCCAAACCTCTGAACATGGCCTCTGTGGTGATTAAGCAAAAGTTTATGGGACTGGCTGCTCCATTCTGAATGAGACACCAGCTCAGAAGTGCTCACTACGCTTGGTCTGGAAGACGGGGGGCTCCTGACAGCAAGCAGAGCTGCAAAGGAGAGTTCTGCAGGAAAACATTCTGGCACTGATTAAGAGCTACATTAGGAAGCACTAGACTGAACAACTCAATGTGTGTGCACACACGTCTGTGCTGCAAGTCCAGGTTGAGGTTCACATAAAAGGTTTCACAGTTACTGGAAACCTCTGTCCTCACCTCTGCCCTTAGCTCCTGATATATAATTATTTGTTAATAGCTCTCAGGGAGGGGAGCTTTAGCAACAATTTGGGCCTTTTGTTTTTTAGCAGTTTCCCTAAATCCACTTGCTTTTCAGATTCACTTAGCCTTGCTGTGTGCTCTGAAAGACCAGAAAATCTTGCACAGGCTCCCCCAGATGTGGTCTTTGTGATGTTTTTCTCTGCTCTATCCTGATATTACAGATGCACAACTTCTAAATATTTCCACTGTTTGGTGTGGGAATTGTGAGATCAACCTCCCGACTACTTCGTTCTTACTCATTTATCTTTCAGTTTCCCACTTGAATGAGAAGCTTTTGCACATGCCAATGAAAAGAACCAAGACAGGAAAAGTAGTTCATCTTGAATTTAAAACAAATACTATAGTACATTGTTTGCACTGGCCCTACTGTTCAAACACTGCCAGGTTTGCAAAGCTGTGCAGCAAGATGCTGTCCAGCTTCGCAAGCGAGTAGGAAAATGCTTTACTCAGAGATTCCCAGTTAACTTCACAGCTTGAAGGACTCTTTCCTCTTTAAGTACACCTGCAACCTTCTAATCTGCTCTGTAGCAGGCTGTGGTATTTGCAGTCATCACGAATAAAGTATTTCTGAGCTTTTTGCCTAATTCTTAAGCAGTTTTTTTTTGCTATGTGAGCAACAAATAAGCAGATAATATATATTCTCTGCACATCACCAATAGAGCTTTGGAGAAAACCTGTGCATCAATAAGGCTGACAAGAACAGTGGTGTTGCTGTATTAATAGCTGAACTGTTCTAAAAGTGTAATAGAAATCCAGTTAAAACAAAGCATGATGTGGTATGCGCTAAGTAAAACTAATATGTGCCAGAGATTGAAACCACATCATATTTTAATATAAAAAGTTATTAACTTCTGGCACCTTCATTTTTAAATCCTGAGTTTGAAACCCCAATGGGATCAATTTTGAGGTGCAGAGCAACTGCCCATAGCGAAATCACTTTAATGTGTCATAGGCTGGGAACTTAAGTCAACAGATATTTTGGAGAAGCTAATCAATAAAGCTATAGCAACCTTTAGACCAAGAAGAAATTATTTTAGCTGAGAGATCAACTTGTATCTCTCTTCCCATGAGGAGTCAGCAATTTCGTCTAAATGCAACATGAAGAGATACATTCCCTGCAACTGAGGGAAAGCGCGTTGGGTTTTGTTACACTGGGCTAAGTCTAAGAGGCACTACTATCAAATTCACCAAATAAACTTTAGGCAGGGATTAATAAGGAAAGAGGAGATGTGGCAGATGGTGGTACTCATGAAGTAACGTGGTCCTGTTCACATTTTCTCCCACTGAAAGGAAGCATTCAACGATATAAAAAACCAAAAAGGCTCCTGGCAATGGATTTGGAAACTTCTTAGAATAATCTATTTTATACAAGAGAGATGGAAGAATTATTTCCAAACTGGGATTTGACATTTACACTACCAAGAATATGTCTCTAGGAATACCAGGAGTTTGAAGAGACAAGAGCTGTTAATATTTCCACTTCAGTACACAGACTTGTCAACTGGGGGTAAAGAAATCTGTTCCTCCATGGCATGGCATCACACTCAATTAAACAAATTAGGGGAAGGATACAAGGGGAAAGAGAAAGGGGGAGGAGACAGAGAATGAATTACTCTTCTTTTTTTCCCTGAGTCCATCCGTCACTGGTTACAGTTAGCAACAGAAAATCAAACGAGTTGCACCAGTGGTCTGTTCAAACCTGACATCTCTGTATTTCTAGTTTAAATTAGAGTAGAATCAATGGAAGTTTTACAAAGACAAGTTGAAGGCAAAGCTTACAAGGCACAGTGTTCAATCTGCCTGCCAAGGTAAGGTTTAGCCTTACAGGAGTCATTAAGGTTAATGCAATCCATAGTGATGTGACAGTAAGATGCTCTATTTTCATTACACCAGAAAGAAGCCCTGATTCACTGTGGTTAGGGCTAATTGGCAGTTTCTAAATCACATGGTAGTAATTGTTTACAGTTGTAGAAAAGGAGTATATTGTTTTCACTGCTGGTTTATACATTTATCCAGTTAATCACTCACTTAATTCTCTTTGATAGGTGGAAATAAGAAATAATTGAATTCTAGTTATCTTTTGACATTTACTTTTCAGCTAAGAAACTGGTTTGCTGTTTGACCAGGAATTCAGGTCAGGGGAAGAGCTTGAACATGACTCCCCCTTCCTTCTGAGAGCAACCACCTAGACCTGCTCACCCAGGCCCTTGATTTAGTTCAGACAAATCAAAAACATGTTCATGGGTTCAGGAAGTTAGGAGATGCATTCAGAGTGCCACAAGTTTTCCTCCTAACCAAAGAAAAGTGCATACCCAGCCTGCTGCACATCTGACTCACATCTTCTACCTCCTCATCCTGGTCAGATTCTTGCATGTAGCAGCCTCTTGTTTTGTGTGCTCTCACCATCCTTTGCTCTCCTTGGAAGAAGCCTGGTACTCCATTGCCATTGCTGAGCTCTAGAAGGCCCTGTACATACAGAAGAGTTACCTCATGGCAGCTCTGGGTGAGGACAGGGTGATGTAGGTCTTGGAGCAGGTAAGGGGTGAGTTGGGGAAATCACCACAGCAGAGGCAGCACCAAGATCCTGCATGGCTGAGTTACGGCATGAGAAGCCCCTGTGAGGAAGCCCAGTTCCCACACAGGGTATGGATCTGGGGTGATCAGCAACCTCAGGGGCTTCATCCAGTCATTCCTTGCCTTTGCAGCTCCAGGAGCATACCAAGGTAATGCAGCTCAAGTAGGTCTCTAAGCAAACTTCAAACCCCAGCAGTTTAGAAACCATTCTCCTCAAACCGCCCTTCTGCCAAGCTCACACAGGAGGTTTTGTGACATAGTTAGAGCAGCTTTCCGTGCAGAGCAGAGAAATGCTTCCAAAATACTGTGACATTCGGAAACTCTTCCCAGGCAGGCACATCCTAAGGTATTTAATAACCAACAGAGCTGGCTGTTTAAATGCCCTGCTCCATCGAGGTTTTCTAACCTGATCTGGAGATCCTTCTGACAGCACTTTCTTGATGAGAGATTGCCTCCTAAGGATGGTGTATTCCATGGGCTTCAACAGGTATACACAGCGCAGGCTTAACAAAGTTCATTTTCCACAGGGGAAGCGCAGGGGCATGCCTTTGCCTCCAGGACAAACGATGAGATGATTACAAAAATAAAAGAGAGAAAGCAAGTATCCATTTATATATTAACAGCCAACAGCACCTAGGTGACAGGGAAATAAAACTGTGATAGTTTGGCAAGGCTGTGGTAGAGATGTGAACATCGCTAATACAGAAAGGAACCTTAAAATATTTATAGGAGTTATCTGCAGAGTCAAACATTTATTTAACTAGTATAAAATCAAATTCTCACATGAAATATAATAAATTCTGCATGAACGGAATGAAAAGCTAACATGTTATAAACTCCCTGAGTGAACCTGAATGCTTCCTGGTTTATAAAACTGACCACACTGATATCTGATGTGAGGACAAGCAAAAAGGGACAAGGACAAAAGGAGGCGATCCTGGCCCCCTACTCTGCTCTTGTGAGACCTCACCTGGAGCATTGTGTGCAGTTCTGGTGTCCTCAACATAAAAAGGACATGGAACTGTTGGAACAAGTCCAGAGGAGGCCACGAGGATGATCAGGGGCTGGAGCACCTCCTGTATGAAGACAGGCTGAGAAAGTTGGGGCTGTTCAGCCTGGAGAAGAGAAGGCTGCGTGGAGACCTCAGAGCAGCCTTCCAGTATCTGAAGGGGGCCTATAGGGATGCTGGGGAGGGACTCTTCATTAGGGACTGCAGTGATAGGACAAGGGGTAACGGGTTCAAACTTAAACAGGGGAAGTTTAGATTGGATCTAAGGAGGAAATTCTTTCCTGTGAGGGTGGTGAGGCACTGGAATGGGTTGCCCAGGGAGGTTGTGAATGCTCCATCCCTGGCAGTGTTCAAGGCCAGGTTGGACAGAGCCTTGGGTGAGATGGTTTAGTGTGAGGTGTCCCTGCCCATGGCAGGGGGGTTGGAACTGGATGATCTTAAGGTCCTTTCCAACCCTAACTGTTCTGTGATTCTATGATTCTAAATTCTGACTCACCTTTTGGTAGCGAGCAGTGCTGTGATGCTTTAGGATGGATAAGCCAGTGGTTGATCACGTCTCCTAATTCGCTTAACCCCTTTTGTAACCTTCAAAATGAGTTCAGGAAGAAGCATCAGCCATTGAGGAAGGCACCATGTGATGCTACACCTGCTGAATCAGGTATTTCACCCTATAATAAATCCCATCTAGAGTCAGCTGTTTCTAAATTGAAAAACAAAGGAGTAAAATCAAGTGTGTACAGTCAGGTGTGTTAGGTACCACCTTATATGTCTAGGGTGCTATCTTAAGAAAGCAATAAGCTGTCAACTACTGGAAGTTAAGAGATGAACTTGGTCACAGGGCCCAGGCACTAAATGAGAGAGGCTGACAGGGATGATTAGGTGGGGGGAAGGTACCAGTATCACAGGCTCAATTCTATAAAAATATGCCGTCCCAGAGGGCTTTTCTGTAGCATTCCTGATAGCAGTGAAGCAGTTAAGTGAAGCAGTGCTGAAGGACAAAGTGAATTCTGCTCCTAAATCTATGAGTTGCGGTGTTGTTTGTTTGCACAGGAGGTTTCTGAAGCTACTGCTTTATGACTCCTGCAGTGCTTTTCTCCATTTGAGCCTGCGAAACCCTGTAATTCACTGTCTTTCCCTGTTCAGCAACTTCTCCTTGCTTAGAGCCAGTAATGGGGTTTGCCAGGAAAATTCAACAGCGTTAAGGGACAGAATTTCTTCTTCCAAACACAGGCCTTTTCAGAGAATCTGTTTTAAAGCAGTAATGGAGATGGCATTTCAGGACCCCCCAAAATCAACATTTTGTGGCCACATTCCCACAGCTGCAGGGTGTCACACTGTACCTGTCCCTTACCAAGGCTGTCCTTTAACACTGGGCTATTTGTCTGTTGGTTTAGGACTCCCGAATCAATCTCTCAGAAGGCTGTGACATATGAAACCTTAAAAAACAAAAAAAACAAAACCCCACTCAGTTTCAGCACCTAGAGCTGACAAGAACTTTCTTCTGACTATGGTTCATATGCAAGTCTCTTACTTGATTCGCTCAGCAAAGAACACGGTGACAAATGAGTCTTCCACCACATCACGTCTCCCAGCCTAATCATTCAGGACTCCCAAAAGCTTAAGGCATCTGCCACTGAAAGATACAAGAAAACCAGTTCTTTAGCAGCCAAGAGGCCCAGCAGATCTCCCACCCTTCACTGCCTGAACTTGCAGAACTTGTTCTGGTCTAACATGAAGATTTTTCCATGGACAAGCTGTCAGCTCCCTTCTCACACATGTTGGGCTTCAGCTGAGGGCACTGCTGGTGCCTTTATCCAACAGTGTTTAACTTTAAGTACCAATCTGGTTACAGCCTACAAAACCATGAGAGAACGGACTGTTCCCTGGAAGTGCTACCCCAGACACACATTTGCTGGATTGATTCTGCTGTTAGCACATTGAAAGAAGTGGGAAAACTCCTTCCCTTAGCATCTCCCCTTCACTTGCCTGAAGGAAAAGAGGGATTCCCATGGTGTCATACATAATTCAGGCTATGCAAGAGTGGACATCGAAGCAGACAGGGTGCAGTAGTTGATCTGTACATCCTCTCTTGGCCGTACAGCACCTTCCACCATTCTTTCTTTTGACATCTTCAGCCTGTGAGTGTCTTGAGTGTGTGCAGTTACTTACTAAGATGCCAGAGCCATTACGTTAGTACTACAGAAAACAAAATAATTCACACAATGGTTCATGAAAAAGGCACTGAACAGATATTTCAGACCCCATGACATAGCCTGCACTGAAAATTATGTCAGACTCTTGGTTTAACTTTCAAGTTTAACCTCTCTAGGAGGCTTGCCTGCTTGTGCAATAGCATTCTCCTGAGATTACTAAGTCTTGTGCTATTATGCTGTCCTGAGTAGACAATATTGAAAGACATCTGATACTGTCAGGTTGGTTATTTTCTATAAAGTTTTATTGTTATGTAAAGGAAGCATTTGTTTTCCTTCCCTAAGACTTTTCCCTTCCTGCTCCAGTTTGGTTAATTGAATGTTACCAATTTCATTGGTATCTGGCTTTAGAATGCCAACAAAATATCTGACATTGTCAGCAAAACTCTGACTGTTCTCACAAAGCACTGTTTCTGTGAGATATTGTCAGCGACACATCCCCTGCCTTGCTGAGCTTCCAGGTAAAACCTACATATTTACAGAAGCTTTTGGGGTCTTTGGTATTGTAGGATGCTAAAATACAGCCATCTGGCAGTAATTAGACCTGTCAATAATTACTGGGAGCTGAATGAACTGGGAAGATGTAAACAGAGGCTTGTAAATGCCTCCTCTATTTGTCACAGCAAAGTAACATGTAGGTCTATTGGCTGAGACCAGCAGTGCTCCCCTGTCAAGAATGAGCCGGTTAACTCGGCTGGATGCTGAGCTGGCACACAGGGGCTGCTCCCAGGGCTGCCTCTGCAGTGCCCAGGACCTTCAGCCTTCCAACCGGAATCACGGTGATACTATAACCATCAAAAATAGAAGGGCACACAGGGGCTGCTCCCAGGGCTGCCTCTGCAGTGCCCAGGACTTTCAGCCTTCCAACCGGAATCACGGCGATACTATAACCATCAAAAATAGAAGGCTGGTAAGGATGCTCTGCCACACTGAGGAGTCGCTGCTATAGCTTCACAGGAGGACTCCCCAGCACGATGGATCCTCAAGGGAGCGGTTACATGAGCTGTAACACAGCTGTTTGTAGATACCAGAGCTATATAACTGCCTGCACATGGGTGGGAATCAGGGCATGGGAGTCTCTGTACAGCTGCGAGGAGCCTCCTCCTGGGAGGCTGGAGGAGGTGATGATGGGTAGAGAGGCTGTGTATGGATGCACTGCTTCCAGAGGCTGAGGTGCTCTGCTGTTCATCTAAAGCTTAGATGGACAAAGCCTGACAGCTCTGGATATTGAGGGTATGTCTTGAGTCAGAGCCAGACAATGGAAAATAGAAAACCAGAATTCAGACTCTCTTCATGTGTCCTCCCACCATGGAGAGGGAAGTCCCCAGCAGGGACAACTTGAATGTCCAAATTTCGGGCGAAGGAGTAAAAACAAGGGTGCGAATTGTGATTTATTGAAGTCTGAAACACAGCTTTGAGCTGCACTCAAAGCTTAAGTTTGAAAACTGAAGCCCTCTGCACCTTTAGGGGGGTGATTCTGATAGTGGTTAAACAAACCTGCTGGCAAAGCAAATAGCTGCAGATTTTCATATCATTTTGCCAGCTACCCGGTGGTTTATTGGAGCAATCCAGTCCTCACATACAAACAAGTGAGAAGCAGTTCAGGCTTTGCACAGTTCATCATATTCTCTCCCCACGACTTTTATCTCTCAGGCCTGAGATTTGTTAACCTCGTGTTGCTCAACACACACATGAAACCTGCAGTTGCTGCTCTAGCTAAGCTGAGCATTTCAGCAGCTCATCCTCCTCCCAAACCGTGTGAGACTTCCCAAGCCTGAGCAATTTTCAAAGCTCATCTTGGGTGCAGCTAAACACAATGTGTCACATTTTCATTCTGACACCCCCCGATGCCTGGCCCTGATACACTGCCAGATGAAATGGCTTTTCTGAGTCAAGTTTCACCCCGAGTTTTTGCAGGTGGAGACCCAAGTGTATTTTTACACATTGGAAACTAAATAAGTAACAGTCTTAAGGGTGAGTCTGTGGGGTTTTACACAGCGCCACCGTGCCTTGATGTTTAAGGCTTTCACTGTCATTATTCAAAGAAACTTGGGCTGCAAATTCCAGTTAATCCAATACAAATGTAGAGTATATTCATGGACCATCACTCACCCTTATAAGCAAAATACAGGGTGCAGGGACTCCTATAACCTTGGATAAAAAATTGTGTACAAAATGCTGCAGCAAAGAGCATCTGCCAGTGAAGAGGCCTCACTAGCAACATCCATGATCTGATCTGTCTCTTCTACACACCAGCAATCTGAGCTGGGCAACGCAAGCACTGTCTACTTATGAGAAAGAGCAAAGCTCCTTCTGGTGTGTGAGCCCCTTTGATAAAACCTTTTTAATTCAGCCCCCTAGGAAGCGAGTACCTCCAAGACTATTCGCTTATACGGCTTTGTCAGCAACACTCTCAGCGTGGTCATGGGAATTTCAGCAATCGATCAATAAGATAGGAGTTGGACTTGCTTATCTTTGAAAAAGAAGGAACTCAAAACCAAATCATGCTGTATTCAACTAAATAGAGGTATTTGTGTGAGGTCTCATGTAATACCACGAGCAACAACAAATGGGCAGAGAAATACAAGAGGTAAGAATTTTTACAGTTTCTTAGGTAGTTCTAATGTACTGATGCTTTTGTTTGCAAGTTCTTCAACAGGCTGAGGAAAAAAGGAATAAACCATTGACAGCTCAGACATCAGTGTTAGTACTGTTTGGCTGATGGAGTTTGCAAGGATGTATCACGCATGGTCTATACACCTCTGTGTCCATGTGAGGAAAGGCTTTCAGGCTTTCTCAAAGCACAGCCACAAAACAGAGTAAACAATGACCCAACCACTTTTAAAGAGAAAGATGCATACACTGATAATAATCAGATAATACGTGTGATGATGACTCCTATTAGACTTCAAATCAAAGATAATTCCTTTTATCCTTGTGTCATGTTGGCCTTTCTTTAACACCCTTTCTCCCCAGAACACACGGTGTCCATATAAGCTAAATACTTCCCTGCCCCTGTGTCACTTTCCCCTTTCAAAATGCAGCACACTGATCAATAATGGGCCATCCAGCCCTCTATCCACAAAAAGAGCTTTACAGTAACTTTAAAGCTAAAATACAAGTTTGGGAAAAACCTAGAGTGCTCACAAAATTCTGTGAAAAATACTTCCATCTATTTACTGCCACCTCCTGAAGAGATCAGCCAAACCTGAAGATGCGCATTACTGGAGATCCCTCTCAGCCTGGACAGCAGCAACCACGCACCTGGAAAGCTCATCTTCCTGAATGGGAAGTCTCATGTCAAGTTTTGCTTGGCTTCACTGATGAGCTCCATCCCCAGCACTTCATGCAGGTCGCACTACTGATGCTTCTTGTTTTGCTCCCGTTTCAAAGTTCACTGGGATTATTAAACCAAGGAAATAATGAAGAGAAAGTATATGCGAATACTTGCATTCATATATACATTTATATGTTTGTACAAGAGGAGTTTCCTGCCTGAATTGAAAACCTCCTTGTAAACAGACACTGAATATTATAATGGAGAAATGCTTCAAAGGAAGGCTTACAGGGATGGGCTCAGTAGAAATTTATATTCAGTACCTAAAAGATGTTATTTTTCAGGAGGTGATGAAAAACAAATGCAAAATCCTTCAAATAAAACATTTAAACCACTCCTCATTGGAAAACTTCACTAATACCATTGAGCCTAATTATTGTTAAATCCTAGCACTTTAATTTTGATCCTTCCTATCTAACTGATAAGTACAGCCTGCAGATTAATACCCACCACAGATACAAGAGCACCACGTTGGTCTGCAGGTAGCTAACACTCCATATGTGCTTTTTTCTCTCCTTTGCAGCCCTACCTGCTTTGAAAGTGGTTTTTGTTACTGCTCTGTTTTGCAGCAAAGCATTGGCGTACACTTGCTCTCCGAGCACGGCGTGGCCTCGCTGATTATATTAAACCCCTTACAAAGTGTTTGGTTCATTTGGTCTCTCCATTTTTGCTGCCCAACAAAAGAGCCAAAATGAATGAATCAATTTTTAAAACAAATAGGACTCGACAGCAGGGACACAGATTTGTGTGAATGGCAAAAGGTGCCTAATTAAGAGCTCTAGAGATGACAAGGCTTTCATTTCTCTAATGAAAGGAGCTTTGTGAGCTTCCAAGTGGTACCCGGCTCCAGCAGAATGGATCTCTTCTCCAGGGAGAAAAAGACAATTTTTCATGCTTCCACTTAGTTACTGTTACCTATTTCACCTTCTGTGTGAAACTTGGGTTAAAGCTTGAAGGTGGCCATCGGTTTCCAAGCGGAGCAGATACCCAGAAGGGATGTTTTCCATTTCCAGGCAGCACAAAGTGACCATTTCTAAAACCAGACCTGCTCACCATGTTCCCTAACAGCCTGCCTGAACCACCTGGCATTTGCTCTCTACTTAGAGCCCAGTCCTTTCCTGTGTGTTCCAGTCATGATGGCAACACCATGGGTGGATGCAAACCTGATTAGCTAAGCACAGTGATCTCGCAATAGTCTTCCTTAATAAAAATATACAGAACAGAAAAGGTTAATAAGTAGGATTGCATCAACTATTGCACTGCTATTAGGAAACCAGCTAGGAGGTGGCTCTAACCAACAAGCAACAAAGCTCGCTCTGAACACTGCTGCTCATTTGAAGTTCCCCAAGGGGAAAAGGCAGGGTGTTTCCACATTTGATCACTCCTTGTACAATGAATCTGGGCTTGTTTAATCCTTACCCACAGTGCACTACACGCATCTGCTTTAGAAGTCCACTTGAGTATTTTAGGGGGTGCTAAAACAGAAGAAAGAGCCCTTAAAGCAGCACATTTATTTGGGTTTCTTTTGGGTTGGGTTTTTTTGTTTAAATGTAGAAACAGACCTGCATGTAAACTGGTTTGGCCTCCAGCTGCAGTGCTGTGCAGCAGCAGCCACTGTGTTTGTGTGGGGCTTAGGGGCAGGCACCAGGAAGAAGCCAAGCTGCTGAGTTTCCATCACCTTTGCAGTACTTATAAATGCTTTTTGGAAATTCTAATAATACCAGCATCCAAACTGAGCCCGTGGGTTGCAGACAGAATTTAGCTGTACTGTTCCATGAGCAGCATAACCCTGGGGGCAATCTTATTTACAGCCCCTGGATGAGGCTGGAGCGCTTCTTAGCCCAAAAGAGCACTTTGAAGTGCCTTCCTCAAGTTACTCATAGTCTTCTGACTGAGGCTGTTATTTAAGCCTCCCTCACTCCTGATGATACTCTGTCTTCTCAATTCTTTTGCTTTAAAATGATGTTATTCCAAAATAGCAAGGCCCCTTTATGTCCTGTATGCTCCTTGGCATGCACCAGTGCAGTGCATCTGGCATTGTTTTCTCCAGGAACAGCGATGCATGGACCCACAGCAAAACCCTCAGAGTGGCTGCAGCCATGCTAGATCAGATGTGGCTGAGGAAACGAGGAACAGAGTTAAAAATACTTTTATTCCTCCGAAGGGCCATGATTTAATGATAATCTGGGACAGGTTACAGCTATTTAGCACCATCTGCGTGGAATAAATCCTTGTGAAAGGGCATCCCAAAGTGCCTGTTTTCCACCACAGCACCGAGCAGCTGGCCAGCCTCAGGCAGAAGATAAATGGGACAGAGCCCGATGCAGAATATTTACATGGTGTGGACATATTTGTGTGGACACATTAGTCCATGCAGGTTAGCAGCAATGGGCGTTTTGTCCATTGTAGCCAACAGGAAAGGCGGCTCACACCTGACACCACCTCCTACATCTCTATAGGAACTGGGGAATCTGGACTGGTAGGCACAGACATCATTTTTGTACTTTAAGTCTGCCCTTATTCATGACGTAAGAGAAGTATCTCAGTTGTGCCTAACCTTGAGAAGCAAAGAATGCAAGCAAGTGGGAGAAAAAAATCATGTCTCCCATATGTAGTCAGCAGATCTGCTGAGGCTGCAGAACCCAGCACAGAGCTTAATGAGAGGGTACAAATGAAATCTCCATGAGAGTCTGTGCACAAGGGTGGATGCTCTACATGTAAATAGGAGCAAAATGGCAACTTCTCAGACAAAGATGCTTTCATCTCAGAGTTCAGGACATAGAAACCAGAGCATCGCTTGGCACTCACTTACTTATAAAATATTAGAGTAATGAAGTTAAGCAAAGCATCTTGGTTTTCCTGCCAAACCAAAGGGAAAGTCATTTTAACTAAGCTGGCTTAAATGAAACATGAGGAGCTGCTGCCAGCAATCTAATTCAGGACTCTGCATTTTCTTTTAGTTCATAACCTTTTGAGGGCACCCATTCACTCAGGCTAACTTTCCGGTGAGTGGGACTGCTAATTTCACTAGCAGTCTTTAAAGCTCAGTTGGCAAAGTTTATATTTCATCCCATTTTCACCAAGATAAAACCCTCCAGATGGGTGGAAATCTCATAAAATGGAAGAGGACAGGCAGATTTGCTTTCTCAACTATATGTATACACACACCCCCCTCACTGGTAGCAAAAAATAAAGGCCTATGATTCCATTCTGCATATGTAAGTTTGACCTTATAATGACAAATCAACTAGATATTCTCCCCATAATTCATAAGGACTGACATTTGCTGTTTTGAGAGCTCAAATAAGAGCATCCATTTTGCCTGAGGATAAATGTAGCACAGAACTGAATTTGTAAAATAGGGCCTGACAACCGATGTTCAAAACCATCCAAAAAATAGATGGTTTTGAAGTTCTCAGTAAATATGTACACAGAAATTTCTTAGGGAGAAATACACCAACCTGACTCTGCAGTCCGGGAATACGTCTCTTATAGGTATTACCATCGAGTCTTGGTTCTGAAATGAAGTCTGCAAAACAAAAACTATAGCCAGATCATAGAATCACAGAATAGTTAGGGTTGGAAAGGACCTTAAGATCATCCATCTGCCATCTGCCATGGGCAGGGACACCTCACACTAAACCATCTCACCCTAGGCCTCGTCCAACCTGGCCTTGGACACTGCCAGGGATGGAGCATTCACAACCTCCCTGGGCAACCCATTCCAGTGCCTCACCACCCTCACAGGAAAGAATTTCCTCCTTAGATCCAATCTAAAACATTTTCATCTCTGCATGTAAATACTCATACTTGAGTGATTTGGAAATTTCTAAAAGCCTCCGAAGTTAAAAAGTTGGCAATCACATCAAATAATATTGCATGAACTCTTCATGCTGTGCTCAGAGCACCAAAAACTGATTGAATTTTAAATACATCTTGAAACATTTCAAAGAAGATTGGGCGTTCAAAATGACAACTTCAACCAGTTTGATTATACTGGAAAGTATTCCACTTGAGAGCAAGTGAAGCAACGGTCGGTTGGGAAGAATGGAGAGCAGCCTCAACTTGCTCCTCTCAGGTTTCGTTACAGCTGTGAATCTCCACTGGTGCTCTCTGGGCGGCTTGATGAGACCTGCCAGCTTTTCAAAGGTAACGTTGGTTACTGTGGGGTTTCACACAGAACAGACATTTTTGCATGCTTTGCCAAAGAAGCGAGGCACATTTCCCTCCTGATGACTGAACTCACCATTTCTCAGGCTGATTTAAAATGAAATCCCCACGTTCTGTTTTGATTTTTTCAGGAGCATGTCCAAAGGTTGCAAACCAACACCAGGTTTTAAACTACACACATCAGTTGGACCTTTTCTCCTATAATTCTTGTATATCCTACCATCACAGCGACCTCCTCTGAGGAAGTTTATGGAACATCCCATTCTGATTTTGCTGAAGTTACACATACATGAAACCAATGGCATCTAAGGGAGGAAGGAAAGTGGGCTGAATTGGAGTAGGACAGCTAATATGACATATGCAAGTGCCATGTGGAAGCTGGCACCAAAATAATTTGAATCCATTTGGCTATTTTCATATGTGTTTGTGTGGGCTGTTTCACGAGGGAGGGATGGTGCAAGCAGACGTGGCTCAGCTGAATTATAATCCTTGGGAACAAGCAAGTACTTTGCACACAGGTTCACCAAACCAACTGACATAACTCATTCATTCCGATCTACAGGGCTAGAATGGCTCAGCACGCCCAAGTGAGGCTGGGGACCATAAGCCAGGTCTGACCAAGAGTCCAACCCATCAGGAACCGTGGTGACAAAGAAAGGTCCAAAGCGAAGCCAAGAAGTCAAAGTACAGCTTGGAGTGATTGTGAGCAGAGCTGGACACAGCCCAGTGATCCCTGGGGACCAGGCATGTCTGAGGTAGAGCTGGGTCACCAGTCAGGGTCAATCAGCAGGGATCTGTGACTGGGCAGGGCCACAGCTGAGATGGGCTGGGACCAGTCTTCCTATGATGTAGCTCAGGGGTACTGATGCTGATAACATCCTTAATGCCTATCAGAGCCCTCTACTCCTGACAGGGGACTGCCTCGGCTGCAGAGAGCATTGCAACACACAGGCACCTTGTGAGCAAGTCTCCTCCATTGGGTAGCCTCAAAGAAAGCCCATCTTGTCCTCTATCAAGTCAACTGCTCTTCACAGTTATTCAAAAGGCTCAGAAACTTTTAAATCTGGAAAGAAGGAGCTTTAAACAAAGGCAGAGAAATCCGCTAGCTCACAGGTCATATAGGCAGGGACCAGGTGGTGCTCCCCAGGAAATCCAGAAGGGCCAAAAGGAAAAAGAAAAATGAGTGTAAAAAGAAACTATTTGGCTTCTTTAAATACCACCGGGTGCTCAGAAATCATGTAGATGAGGCCCTTAGTGACATGGTTTAGTGGTGGACTTGGCAGTGCTGGGAACAGTTGGACTTGATCTTAAAGGTCTTTTCCAACTGAGCTGATTCTGTGGTTCAGGCTCAGCAGGAGTCTTGCACCAACATTAGCAGAGGAAAGGCATAGAACTTACCTTTATCTTAAGCAGGTTGCTTCTTCCTTGCGTCTTCCCCTATACAAGCATTCAGTGATTTAAGAGCACAAAAAGCGCTCAAAAGGAAGAGTTACTGTTATCCACTCCTGCCTGAAATTGAAGACTATGGCCTTGTCTCCAAGGGCGGTATTTTCTTTGGTTTTCTATCCACACCCATTCAAACAATCAGCTTCCCAAACAGTATTTCACAGAGTCGCAGCCCCGAGTAACGCTGCAATAAAAGGAATGACTTTCAGAGGTTTGGCGGAGTTGCGTTTTCTTCCTGGATGGCTCGCGGAGCAAGAGCGGACGGTGCTCACACATCCACAGGAGCCACTTCCTCAGGGATGTTCCAGCTCTCTGGCTCCTGCAGCTGCCAGCGCCGGCTGAGCCTGCCCGTCTGCTCTTATTCCTGATGGACAACGCTCCCTCTTTGTTTCTTTTCAGAGTGAAAAAAAAGGTGTCAAATCCTAAGTTTGGGAATAGATAGTTTCACAAATTATTCAGGAGCTGTGCATTATGCATAGGGCGCTGTAAGGGTAAAAAAAAGGGTAGCTTATACTAGCCCATTTACCTTGCACATGCATTTAATCCATACACAGCCTTCTATATGGGCCATTGGGAGTCTAGGTTCTTGTGCAAGGCTTTCTGCAGGCTGCAGCAGGGGGATGTGCTGTAACACTCACAGGTTGCTGTAAGTGCAACCTGGTTTGGGTTCTTTCCTTCCCAGGGCTGAGCCAGCGACGTTCTTGACAGCACCACCCCACTGCACCACTTCAGGCCTTTCAGTTTGGCTCCAAGCCCCGAATGCGGCTGCATCCCTGCGTAGCAAACACCTTCCACATAGCTTGCATCAATCAGAGGGAAGCAGCAGAGCTTCCTGCAGCTATTTCTGAGCAATTACTCATCTTTCCAGACCTTCCTTTAGGCTAGGTGCGGACTGTGGCAGTTGGAGCACATTACACAGCCTTGCATGCAGATGTAGCAATTAGGCATCCACAGGGCCTGAGCGTCAAGAGCCACCAGCCACACGGCTCAGGAGGGCTGCAACATGAAATTGTTTTCCATCTGTACGTTATGCTGAGCCTTATTTCAGCATTCAGATGGAGAAACTTTTCTTAAAATGGACCATAAAAATGGTTTTTCTTTTGCTGGTCCTTTCCAAGTGTCCTTTACCAGGCACAGGCACACACACAGAGCGTTGCAGGTCACCAAGAGCAGCAGTTGGAATTTCCCCTTGAATCATAGAATCACAGAATAGTCAGGGTTGGAAAGGACCTTAAGATCATCCAGTTCCAACCCCCCTGCCATGGGCAGGGACACCTCACACTAAACCATCTCACCCAAGGCCTCTTCCAACCTGGTCTTGAACACTGCCAGGGATGGAGCATTCACAACCTCCCTGGGCAACCCATTCCAGTGCCTCACCACCCTCACAGGAAAGAATTTCCTCCTTATATCCAATCTAAACTTCCCCTGTTTCAGTTTGAACCCGTTACCCCTTGTCCTGTCACTACAGTCCCTAATGAAGAGTCCCTCCCCAGCATCCCTATTGAAAGCACAAAAGCAGTGACTGAGGAAGTAGCTAATCACGACAGCAAACAGAACACAGTTAGGTGAAACAAGTCTCTAAAGCAGTATTTCATGGAGCATAGTGCCCATTTACTCCCTGCACTTCTGCCCTGCTGGGTCAGGACATAAACCTTCCTTCAGCTCTCCCTAAAACATGGAAACTTTCTTGAAACCCAAAGCCCCAAGTCAAAGGCTTTTTCCTTTTCCCAGGAACTGTAATTTCTTGTGAAAAGCAGAAAGCTCCCACTAAAGTTTGGATTTCCATAAGAACTCCCTTTCTCAGTGGGAAGAGCAGGTTCAAGCTGAATTTAAGCCACACTTTTCCCTTGGCAGTGATTTGATATGCTATAAACCCACATTACTCGGGCTATTTTTCTGTCAACAGGAAAGATGAAAAAATGTTCTTCCTGGACATAGCCATCTATTTCTGGGTAGAATTACCACTAGCACAGACCCTTCTGGAGTGCTCATCTGTTTAAAGGATGTGCAGGGCTGCCCAATACTAACACACCCTAATCTGTTCAGCACAGTCCAATTTCTGAAATCTGAGAAAGCAATCAATTTTATGGTAAAATATAGGAGTGTAAAAATCTGAGATTATGACATTTCATGCCTGCTCACGCTCCATTACTGGGAGACTGGAACAGGGAAAGCAAAAATCTTTCTTTGCTGATCACCAGTCCTACAATAAGGTGCGACATCTACCTACACAAATCCAGCAGCGCCAGTTTCCAAATGCACCCTAAGAACAAAGTAAATAATGTATTTTTCTGTTTTCCGTGCTAACTTTGCCTTCCAGGAACATGCAAAAGAATAAAGTGAGCAGAAAGCACCCAAATGTAAAACCCTGGTTACACAGGCTTGGCAGTCCAAAGAGGATCTAAAGGAATAATTTAATGTGCTGATCTAGTTATGAACCTTTGAACGCTGACAATGACTAGCAAACCTCATTGAAAACTGGTTGTTCTTTGAGAATAAAACCAACCCAAGGCACAGGGCAATCTAGTAACTGCGAGCTCTGGAACTCCTTCCTCTGCCAGTGTGAATGCCAGCAGCTTTATTCAGCTCTGGGAATGGCTTCAGGAAACAGGCACATGGCTCCACTTTGTCTCTACAGCAGCATCTATAAGCACTAGAAGTGTTTTGTTTGTAGGGTGGGAGCACATTTCTGTATCAATAAAGCAATCCTCAGCTACAAAGTTGGTGACTTGAAACTGCAAAGGGTGGGGAGAAAGGAAGGGGAGGGTTGTCCCACGGAGCAGCACTGTGTGAGGCTCAAAGAGCCAGGGGCTACCTGAGGATAAACACATTCACTGATTAGAATTCACAGTCCTTAGTAGCAAGAGGTAGTAAAAATTATTCACCCCCTATTAACAGTGTATTTATACGTACACATACACACACACCTCTTAAACCCATTGCTTTTGGCTTCACAACACAAACACACATGCTGGTAATTTAATGAAGCATCAGTCTCAGGAGACTGTTGGGCTGTTAGTGCCCAGGACCAGCAGAGCTGCCACCCAGTACTGGGTGGTGTCATCCCATTGTTCCTCTCACGCATTATACAGACAGGAAACCCTCTGGAAAACTGCCTTTCATTCAGCTTTACGTTTGCTCAGCTCCTTCTGCAGCAGGATATTGCCCCCAGCCCAACCTCCTGCATGGGCTGGGCACACAAATACGAGCTAGCACAGAGCTGTTAGCAGTGCTCACCAGAATCCCTGTTTCTATTGTGGGAAGAATTACGGACTACCTTTTGTACAGCAGTTAATCTTAGCATGCAATTCTGAATAACCTGATTTTTTTATTTAATAAACTAGCATTCCTCCTGCCACTGATTCCCTCATCTCCAATATAATGTAAATAACACTTTATACATTTCATTTTTATGGTCTCTCTGACTGTATCTTACACTTTTCCTTCAACAACAAAAATCGCTCATAAATAACAATACGTTTTCCCAGTAAAAGGAGGACATTTAGATTCTTTTTTCCTCCACCTTTTCAAATACCTTTACATTGCCTAGCAATTACCCGTTCAACTGGACTCCTGCTGGAACAGTGTTATTATTTTATTTCCTTGCACCTCTAAGGCTTGGAGGGAAAGAAACCCAGTGCAATGTATGGAACACCTGTGAAACCAGTTCTGCCAGTAAGGACGAGAGACCTGTGCACAGAAATCACACCAACACAGCCTTATTGCCAGGCAATGCTGCATGCACAGAGCAGCACAACTTTCAGAAATGAGTTTCCTGGCACTTCCCATAGAGAAACTATCTCCTGTCCATGGGCCATTGTTGCGAACAGTTATGGATTTCAGGCCATTCCGAGCAGATCAGGCCTGGAATAACTCTCTATCCCCAGTGTTCATGCACGCCATTTATCAGTACAGTGACTGAAAGCGTTCCCAGACACAGATGTCACACAGAGGAAACCCCAAGGAAATGTAGGGTGTCAGCTTCAGCTCATTGACTTCTAGGTTAGAAAGCATAAAATTAACACAAAACTAAAAAGCACTGTGCTGTTTGTCCCCACCCCAGTGATCTTCTTTAAAATACCCGAACAGGCATTCTTCAGTTTTAAGTAATCACAGATTTTCCTGCTGATGTACATAATGTTTTAAGGAAGTCTTGTATCAGAGCATGATAATAAATAAATTGTGCTGAAAGTTCCTCTGATCACTGCATGGAAACACTTGCATGGACAAAAAGACAGACTTAAAGCCAAAGCTTCACTGCTGTAGGCAGGACTGAACAAGACTGTAAGGGCACACAGCTAACACGTACCAAAATTACACGGAAGACACCATGATGCCCAGCCTCCCAGGCAAGGCGGATGAGTGGCATTGACCTGGCAGTGGGACACTTAGTGACCTTAAAAAGCACTGCTGAGTCCTCGTGAGCCTCAAGGGGAGCCGGGTCCTATCCAACAGCTGGAGCCTCAACAGCATGTGCCAAAGCCTCAATAATAAAGAGTTTTCTTCCATCTCTTGCTGCAGCACCTCTCCGGCATAACAGAGCTGGGGGGGGGGGGGGGAAGAATAAAAAGAGAAAGAAAAACAATGCTATTAATGTAGCTATAGAGACATTTATAAACCCAGCACGGGAACGGAAGCTTCTTTTGAAGCCTCCTGCAGTACTGCCAAGAGGGGGGAATCGGAAAGGCCTGATCCTATTTGCTCTTCCACAGAGCAGCCCCTTTCTCCCGCGGGCTGAGTGTCTTCCAAGGAAACCAAACATTTCCCCCCAGCAGTAACGAAGCTGCTGCCTAATGGGAAGGGAGCCAGAGGAAACGGCTTTTCAAGCACGCGATGGGCAGCCTGCGCTCCCGCACGGAGCCCGCAGCCCGCGCTCTTTGTAGCGCAGGAGCGGAGCCCGGGGTGCCGCCGAGCCGTGGAGAGCGCTGCGGCTTGGGGTGCAGCCGAGGCAGGAGGCTGAGCTCGGAGCCGGGGGAGCGTGTGCGGGCTCAGCGGGGAGCCTCCGCCCCAGCCCCGGCCTTTATTCGCTGCCCTGGAGAATTTTCTGCCTAATTAACAGAGTGGGTGGGGGGTTCCTTTGTCTTCCAGACCACCGGGTCGCAGACCAAAAGAGCTTCGTTTGCTTCTCCCCCTGACTTGATTCTGCGATCACTGCAACCGTCAGGAAAGCACTGGGCACGTTCTAGTCACCTCCAAGCTTTATTTATTCACCTGCAATTCCAGATTATGCATGTAAAGAAACCCACACCGGCTCTTAATGCCCTGCAACCTGCTACGGAGGGCTCTGCAGTTTGCGCCGCAGGAGGGATTCAGCCCTGTGTCACCAAACAGGCACCCGCGCAGCAGGTCTGCAAGCCAGCAGTGGTGTGGGGAGTGCTGCGTGCTGGCATTTCCTCCTGGGGAAAGGCACAGTTAGGAGGAGGAGGAAGAAAAGCAGTGTGGGGCACTGACACAGGTCAGAGGAAAGACACACCGAGGGCAGCAGCTTCTTGTAAAAGGGGCTGCAGCTGCTTTTATCTGATGGACCAAAGGGAAGACACAATGGAAGGTCACTATGGAAAGACAAGATGGAAGGTCACCACTTGGCTGGGAAAACCGGGCGATGCTTTAGGTGCAGGAAGCTGCCATGTGCAGGAGGACGGCTCAATCTCCGCAGCTCTTTCAGGAGCGTCTCTGCGCAGAGAAGCACAACCAGCTGTCCGCCCATCCTGCTTCTAGCTGTGTTTGTGTTACTGCTGCTCCTTCACGGACCACACGCACCCGTAAATATTGAACAAGGCAAAAGGACCGAGGGGTTTAAACTGCTCCAACAGCAGCTGTGCTGGATAAAAAGGCATGGAAGATGTTCTCACTCAGATCAGCGTAAATCAGAAGTACCCCCACCGACAAAGCGGCAGCGAAGTCTGCCTGGGTGAAGAAGGCTGGAATGGAGCTGACAACAATTAGGACTCTTTTACTGTCTTTCTCCTCCACTCCAGTTGTTTACCTCTGCCTCCCCCTGCTTGCTCGCTGCTTTTGACATGTCAACTAGAATGTACATGCTCACAGTCTCATGAATCCTTTCTTCCAGAGCCTTCTTGAAATGTTCAGATTTCAGACAGTCATGGGGTTTTGCCTTTAGATTTCAAGCTCCTCAGGGCAGAGACAATGTCAAATCAGCATGAAGCATTGTGCATACTAATGAGGCTATACAAACAGTAACTGTACATATAGTTAACACAACTTTCCCAATGCACATCCTTTAAGCATTTTGTAACCCCAAACCGCCAAGAATCAAGGGCAGAAAGAGCAGGGATATCCTGCTACTTCCGTTAGATTTTACAGCTAACAAAGTAATTCTTCTGGTGTGCCAAAGCATATTCAACTCAAGCAGGGCCATACACTGTGCTCTGTAATCAAGAGATCTTTCTTCCCTTCTGCCATGCTTCTTAAATCACTGCCTTCAGTCACTCACAATGTGCCGTGCCCTGGAAAGAATTAATAAGACTCCATAAGAAGGCTGTATTATTACAGCTCCTGGCAGTGGCCCTCCTATACCAATCAGCTCAGTACAGGATTTTTGGCAGGTATTTATGCTTAATTTTATATATACATGGCTATTTTATTGAGAACCCACATATAGTTGCTTGATATTTCCCTTAAGCATGAAGAACTTTGAACAGACACCTCCTCTCGTAGTGGGTGCTGTGCTTCTGGACTCAGCGCAGACACAGGGGACTGCAGCAGCCAGCACCCAGAGAATACAGCCTCCTGTTCCACAGGATGGAGAGAAGGAGGTCATCAGTGGGGCTGCACGAAGTACATCCCAAAATGACATCATGACTTTACATAGACATTTATGAGGACTACTTCATTGAAGACTTCAGAATGGACAGCTAAGGGCCACGTTGTTCACACACCTTCCTGCCTCCCAGATGGCAGACACTGAGCAAGATCTTGTGCTGCTGAGGTGGCCTTTTCTGCTCCCCCGAGTTCATCCTCCCAATTTCAAATGTTAGTGCTTTAATGTCAGAATCCAACACAAGTCAGCAGTTCAAAGGTGAAAAGCATTTTACAATAGCATGAAAATCATAACAGTGTTCAGGAGGCTCAAAATGACTCATTTCCCAAGGGGAAATTACTGGTACTCTCTCTCCAGCAGCTCTGCTGGTGTCAGTGTCATTAAAAAGAGGGAGTGGGAAGACAGATAAACAAAGTCTTTAAAAGCAAATATGTTCTAACTAGTGGTTATCACTGCACTTAATAATTAGGGTACTAATTAAGAGGGTAGGTAACACACTAGCTATTAGCTGCTAGTAATTAGTGTTTTTTTCTCTAGAGAATAACAAGCTAAAAAGAAAATATAAAGACCTGAATCCATTTTGCCATTCACCCTGGTCACATCATGAAAACCTATTACACAAATTAATATTTATCATTAGCACCACAAAGCCATACTTTCATATTTTGCAGCATCGTGTCGCTCAGCATTTCAACGTGTGGATTTTTTACATGCACAGACTAGACCTTGATGATGTCTAATGGGATTACTGCACAAATCAACTCCTTAATCCAGCCAGCCTTAACACTGGCACAACAAGGTAGCTAAGAGATGCATTCGCACACAGATGATCCAGAGCAGGCAGGATAATGCTGCCTTAGCAGGGAGAAAGCACAGAGAAAGGCTTTCTGAGAGCAGGGTAAACATTTCTCAGAGCAGTGTTCTCGTAGGTGGGAGACCTGGATTTAAATGCCTGCAGCTAAATCAGACAGGGAGTGAGGCTGGATTGTCTTGTATAGTTGCCAGGTTGTGCTTGAGGATAATTTACCCCATGATTTACAGTCATTTTCTCTGTGACACAGGGTTTCCCCTTAAACCATGGCCCTGCAAATGTTGTAAGGGGAGAGCAATGCCCAGGTCCAGCTGTGTGACAAAGGAGGGGGGTGATTTCCTTATAGGACCCAGCACAGGCTGACCTGCCCCTGCCTTGTGGTCTTCTGTGCAGTTATAGCCTCAGTGGTGATCAGACAGCAAAAACTGATCAAAAGTGATGCTCCATGGATATCCTTTCAAGCTGCCACAGGCGGGCCCATAAGCAGGGGGCATCCAGTGGGGGTAGCTATGCAGCCTTTTGGTTGTTAGCAGGAAGGAGCAAACCTCCCCATCACCCTCCACTTACTGTGCCTCTGCTCACTTTGCAGAGCAGTGCTGGAGTGCAAGAGCTGTGCCCCTCGGTGTTAAGCTAAACCTGAAAAAGCATGTGAGTTGTGCACTTCAGATGCTGGCCACTGGGACCATACCAGAGCTTGTGGGAAGCTGCCCCATAGCAACATGAATGGTGTGGATGTGGGTTCCCAGCATCTGAGGTCTTACCTCCACATCCATGGCACCACAGCGCTTACTGATGGAGATACAGCCAGGGATATAACTGCTCAAAAAGAACCACAACTCGGGAAAGCAATTAGCCATATGGTTGCTTTTGACTACTTATGCAGAATAGAAGATGCCTGAATTATGTGAATTGGGTTAAAAGTAACTAAACAATAAAGAATTTGAAAATCCATGCATTTCTGATTTTATGGAGAAAAACGATCAGATGACTATTTGCTTGTACATGTTGCTTTCTTTTGCTGATTTCAGAGGGTTTATTAAGATGATAAAAATACTTAATGCTGAGCTACATTCTGTGTGCTCACTTTGAAAATAAATCTTTGTGTGGGTGTAATTTAGGCTGTGGGTAGACTAATACTCTGGGATTTGCCCATGGATAAGAATATCCATGCAGCTATATTAGTTACAACAAATCAATAATTTCAATGTAATAGCTTGCTAAAGCACCTCTTTTTTTTTTACTAAAAGATATGTCAAGTTGCTATGTCACTGGACACAACGTGGAGGTGTTAGGACTGAAACAGAGTCTTGTCTGGGGGGGGGGGTAGAAGACAACAGCCACTCTAGCTACCTAGGTCACAGAAATGTGATGCAAGACAACGAAGAAAAGTTACATCTTACATTGCTTTTAGACCTACCTCCTACATGCACCTTCTCACACACTGGTAGAAGGCATAGGAACGGTTCTTTCCTTGACTTCTCAAAGAAAGAACCCCAAACCCGAGCCCTGAAACAATGAAATCAAGAGTTATTATCTGCTAACATTGCATCCCTATGCTCTCATACGTTGCCGTACTGTTTTACGAGCAGACACGCATACGTGCACACACACTGGGAGAACAGGGTTAGTTAACAACCCCACAGAACTAAGAGCAAACATGAGCTTCTTAGGTTATTTTTTTTTATATATAATTTGTATTACTTAAAATGCATCAGTTGCTAAATTTGGAATTGTTGGTGAGTAAACAGTAGGTAGCGTTATAGAGAGCCACTCTTCATAAAATCCTAATTATCCCTTTCCTATTTGTTGTGACATGCCCTCGCACTCATTATGGGCTTGGACGGATGCCCGGCCTTCGAAAATGCAAAGTAAGCACAAGAGGTTTGTGTAAGCTCCAGCTGGTTTCTGTGCATGGCTGGGACATTTTGTGAAGCTGCTGCAAGTGGAGGCAGCCCAGACTGTCTCACCTGCTTCTTCTCATGCCTTGCTCACCCCAGAGCAATCAGCATCGCTCACCAGTGGGTTTGGAAGCATCCAAGTCACGATGTTTCTTTCAAATCAGCAAGGGTTTTTTGTGTTCCAATTTCTTTGTGTCTGAGTGTGCAGGGTAAAAGACCTCCAACTGTTGTACAGACAGCCACTCCTCAACCCTGAGAGCTGAGGAAGCCCAACTCACAGCACATGGTGGGTGCAACTCCCTGACCGTCCATCCCCACAGCTCAGTGAGCAGTGTGAGCAGCAGTAAGGCTCTATGGGGCCTTATTAACCACTAGAGCAGCTCTAACATACTGTATTGTGTATTTAACCTCAAGGCTATTACCATTATCCAGCTAAGCCAAATGAATGTAGTAGAAAAACATTTACAGTTGCTGGAGGATTAATGTTCTGAATGATGCATGGATTTTAGAGAAAATGCCTTTGATTTATATCATTCTATACTAGGAAATATAATTTCAATTAGTAATTGCTAATTTTGATTTAGTACATTGCATTCTGGATATAGCGGGATTGTCATGATTATATCACCTAACTTATTATGATATATATTTACTGTAATGGGAATATATATTAATCAATAGATAGACTGATTAACTATGGGCTATTAACTACACTGCAACACTGGCATAACACAATCAAGCCAGCAACAGACACAGAGTATTGTCGGATGTTGTGAATGATGTATCTAATTCTAATTTTACCCTGGAATAAATACAAAAACTAAGCAATGATTATCAGGTCCAGAAATGAATATGTCTAACAGGCAGCACGTCAGATGTCGTAGCTAAGCTAGTTGCCCAGGGAGTCCAATTCTTCTCCAAGTGGATGATTTATATATTTTAATATGAAACGTATCACTCTCCAAACAGTCTCTTTCAGAATGTGATATATACATTCTACCTGCCAAGGACCCAGGGAGGTTGTGAATGCTCCATCCCTGGCAGTGTTCAAGACCAGGTTGGACGAGGCCTTGGGTGAGACGGTTTAGTGTGAGGTGTCCCTGCCCATGGCAGGGGGCTTGGAACTGAATGATCTTAAGGTCCTTTCCAACCCTAACTGTTCTATGATTCTATGACATTTTGATACTGTAATACATTGTCTTATTTCTTTCAGAAGAATCCATTTCTAATTCTTTACGTGCTTCTGGTGTCAGAACGATACCAGTAGTACTTTTCGTGTGATGGCTACACCAAACCTTTGCTTATAAGCAGCTGAGGTGCCCTGGAGAAATTAGGACCTGGTAATACTTCCTTTCCTGCTCTGCTCTTAGGCATGCCCCATGCTGCTGCCTGGTGATACAGGGAGCTGCTAAAGAAATAGAGAGCTTTACCCAGAAAGACATTCTTTCCCCCCAGTCTTCAAAGAAAGGTGTGCAAGCCCTAAGACTGAAGCCAGAGGGACAGGACCTCTAATCCCTCACAAGCCCTCGGGAAGGCTGCTTGTGAGGTTGTTCCACTGTTATGCTTACAAAAACATGCATGGAGCTAATGCAGTAATAAAGCCTCTGTTTGGCTCTTGGGTTTGAGAGAATACCTGCAAAGCTTCCTGCAGGGCTCTGGCTGCCTTTCCAAAGTTCAGCTTCAGTGGCACTCTACTGCCTTGATGCACGGTGCTCCTACGCTGAGTAAATGAAAACAGAGCACTGGGACAGGCCTCACAGATCAGCTAAGAAGCCCCTAAGGTGCGCAGGCAAGACAAGCACCTCTGGATGCTCCCTCCTTCCAGCCTGTGAACTGTTTTACACATCTAAGTCAAAAGATCAGGACATTCCCATCTGTCACATGGACAGAAACCAGTGCCTGGCTGTAATAGGCATAAGAAAAGGGATGCCACTCCAAGCTATGGCCCGGATCAATGACGCTATATCTTATTAACATCCCATCAGCATCCCCAGAGCAGCAGACCAGCAGCCCCCATGCTCTTTTCCATGGTGGGTACTGTGGCCTGGGATGGGAGGGGAGAGCAGACATTTGGCTGATTGTTGGATGACAGGCAACATGCCGAGCGCCTACTGAACCAAAAGGAGAAAGGGAATTGTCACCTGTAGGCATCAGTGATTACAAATCATGCCAATGGCAGAAGGACTCTTTCAGCTGGGACCAAAAAAAGTACTTCCAGCTCAGCAAAAGTAACTGGAAACTGGATAAAATGTGGAAGAGGGCAAACGACTTTTTGATTACCAAAAGCAAACTCCTCAACTCTTCTTTCCCAAAAGCAGATCTAGAGAACACAAATTCATCTACAGGATTTCCAGGGCCGAGTGCACCTGAAAGGCCACTTCTTGCAGTGTAAGCAACAGTCCTACTTAGCATATGAAGATCATATGCAGCAGAGGAAAATATAGGCTAGTTCCAACAACAAAAAAAAAACAACCAAAACCAGCTCCGGAGTGTATATGCAGGTTTCTAAGTAACCAGACCAATTTTTCTGATGCGTTGAGGGCTGACTAGTTCCCACAGAAATCAATAGGAGATGCTGATTGCTTGGTACTTCTGAAAATCAGGCCAACTCTTCAGGAGCATAAGTAGGGGCCTGAAATGCCTGATTATGGCCCATTTGAAGTCTGAGCCTCGGTACACAGCGATGCGCCTGCTGTTCAGAAACATGCCTCACAACATGCACATCCTCTGCGAGGGTGAAAGAACAGCCCTCCCTGCGACAACCAGGCTGGGGACAGAAAGCTCTATTTCCACCATCACCACACACTCCACCCCCCCCTTTTATAAGACTGAATACACCAGCTTCAGTTCTGAAAGAGGAAAAATCTTTTTATAGATGCTGCAGTACATAATCAAACACTCCATGTGATATAATGCAGAGATAAAGTAATGCAGTACATAATCAAACGCTCTATGTGACACAATGCAGAGATAAAGTCATGGAAAGTTAAACTTGCAGGAAAATAAAAGCCGTGATGTGCACGTAACTGTGACCTGTCCTAACGTACTCATAGGCAGAAAGTAAAGCCATGAGGTAAGGAAAGGGTGAGGCAAAGAAAGTTACGTGCAAGCCTTTCAGAATACATTTCCTAATCGAAAAACCCTCCAAGTATTCGCTGTGAAGCTTTATCTTCCTAGTGCTGGCTACTGGCATGCTTCTCTGAGCACCATGGCTGGGTTGGGGCAGGTCATGTACTCAGCCCTTGTTTCCTTTATTGCCATTCGGTACCTAACGGTTGAGTTGGAAAACGCATCGCGTCCTTCCATGAGCACCGTGCCACCTGATGCATGCTCTGGCATCTGTAAGTAGTGATTTACTGCTGAATCACACGACAAAACTGACTATAGCCTTTATAAATTCATAAATCCTGAGTAGGACAGCTTTCCTATTATGGCTGCAGTATTGTTTCAGTGTGTTGCTGAAGGAGAGACAATAAATCGTGAGGCTTGGAAATCCTTTGTATTTATATACGAGGCTTTTGGTCTCCATTTCCTAGTCACAAATAAACTGGGATCTTTTGAGTTCGCCACAGGGATATTTATAGATTGCAAATGGTGACACATTAAATCAATTGGCCTCTGTATTTTCTCTGGGATCTTTTATTGTTTCCTGCAAGTCAATGTGAACATTTTCCCCATCTTACAGATTCTTCTCCATGTGGAGGGAGTCTGGATGAGCTTAGGCTTTCTTCACACTCTTCCTTTATACTTATGAGGCTGTGATTTATTCATGTGTTATCAGCCATGCCCTTCTTGCAGCAGACAGAAGCAGCATGAGCAACTTTTTATTATATGGCTTTTATGTTTGTCACTTTTCTCTCTTCTACCTACGAATGCTCCCCCTTGAAGTTATTTATATAACCATCCCAGAAATCCCTATTATAGCACAGTAATGATTAGTCAAAGAAGTTTTGGAGAAGTTTTGGCAGTGCCATTGTATCCAGGATGTGGTCTTGGCCCAGGCCCAAAGGTGTTAGACACAGTCTCATCACAAAATGGGGCTGTTCCCAAGTCCAGTTGCCATGCAATATAAACCATTACACAGGGACTGAGAGTATATCACCACCTGGAGATTGCCAGATGGTGATATACTCTCCTCTGGTCGCCCAAAATTCAGCACCGATAGTTTTGGATGAACACCCTAGGGAACATCTCCCACTGTAAAATCACTCAAAAAGTTAAGAATAAAAGTAAGGCCATGAAACTTACCTGAGCTGTGTGCCAGCTGAGTGAAGGATACTCCTTTCTTTCTGAAACGGATCAACAGCAGTGCTGGTGAAAGGAGTCGCCCTGTATTTAAAATCAAAGAAGACAAAAGCCAACAGAGAGTGCATCGTAGCTAACCTGATGGAAACAACAGCAAAATAAATTAATATCTTTTGTCATCTAATGCCGATTGTGTCTTTAAGTAGTGGACATTCAAAAGACAGGATCTGTCTGTACATTGTGTATACTTTGGGATACTGCTGCTTTTGATTCACATGCTCAAAATGGCAATGAGGACCCAGGATTTGTATTTTGTTCCGTTAAAGCGAATGCATTTATGCTAAAAGCCTCAAAACAAATTCTGCTTACCTCTGAAACAGCGCAATGTTTATATTACTAAGAGAAGTGGGCTGCTGAGTAGTGCAGCTCATCCTTCTGCTTTATTAACTACTCCTCTGAAGGACTCAGTGAACCTTTACCAACAGTTCCATAACTCTCTGCAGTCGTATTTCTGCATGAGAATTTTGGTGTCCAGATCTTGCCCTTTCTGCACGTAGGCTGGAGCAGGATGTCCAACGCACATCCAGAGCCCCAACACAGACACATCTGTTAAAAAGGAAGGCAAGAACTGTTAACATTTCCTCTGCATCTGTCCAAACCAGAGCTTCAAAAAGGTGGTTGCAGCAAACAGAGGACGGGAGGCAGGCCTGGGAGCCAGAACACATGGAGGAGGAAGGACGGAGCCTCATACCAGGCACACATGCCTCCAAACCCAGCAGGCGGGTACTGAATTTGTTCTTGCAGCAGCCTGGACGCATTTTAATTTGCCCTGGTTTGCTTCTTGGTTTCTTTGTGTAAAACGCACCAGCTGAAGTGAAATCTTCCCATGTAAAGGTCTATGCCCTGCGTTCAGCTGGGATAGTGAATTTTTTTCCCCAGCAGCTGGCTCAGTGCTGTTTTGGCTTCAGTCTGAGAACAATGCTGATAACACACTGATGTTTTAGTTGTTGCTAAGTAGCACTTGCCCTGAGCAAGGACTTCTCAGTCCCTCATGCTCTGCCAGTGAGGAGGGGCACAAGAAGCCGGGGGGAGCAGAGACACGACACTAAACTAGTCGAAGGGGTGCTCCGTACCACAGCACATCATGGCCAGTATAGAAACTGGGGGGAGCTGGCTGGGAGGGGCCAATCACTGCTTGGGGACAAGCTGGGGATCAGTCAGCGGGTGCTGTGCAGGAGGCAAGGGTCTCAGCACCTCTGCTTCCCCTTTATGCTTCACCTCTCTATCTGCCAGGGGATGTCCAGCTGCAGCAGAGCCACGCAGTAAATGCTAGGCCCAAGAGGGGCAGGAGAAGTGCGTGCAGTCTCAATTTTGGACTGCCTTTTTAGCCATGTCCTTTCTAGAGACAATGCAGGCACCTTCAGGTCATCTTCCAATTGCAGACCTGAAAACCTGGACCTTCACAGTCAAGTGCAATTAGCTACTCTGTAAAGCTCCAAAACGCAGCAATTAGACTGAACTCGCTTTTAAAGTCCCTGCTAGCAACTGATCTCTGCAGGAAAACCATTTCACTCTAATTTTCAGTTATCTGCGGAGTACAGCAATAGGAGGTGAAAGGCACAGGTACCCTGTACCAAAAGTACATTGCACATGCGCCGCTGTGTTCAGCTCACGCAGCAAGCCCATGTTTAGATGAGGATGTTTTGATAAAAGGGCAAAATGAGCTGCTGTAGGTAGAGAAACAAAGTGCTGAAAAGCCAGGGAGATGATGAGAGCAGGCTCTGCCGCGCTGTAGTGCTGAGCTGGAAGTACGATGGCTTTGCTCACCAGACCAAGGGGAAGGGAGCTTTCCTACACTGCCTCGAAGCAGTGATCTGAGCACTTTTCATAGAGACAAGAAATTAGGTCAAAACTTTCTAGGAAATTTCTGAGGCCTGTTTCAGAACACAGTTCAAAAGATCAAAGGAGAGAAATTCTATAGGACCCTGTACGCAATCTCATGTGGAAATGAAACGCTAAGAGGGAGGAATCCTGCGACTGAATACTGCTGAGCTGACAGCCAGGGGCTCACCTTTCTAGAAACCTCCGTGCAGCTCTGCAGCAGCACAATGTAAGGCAAAGAAAGGGAGTGAACTTAAAACAACCCTTCCATCAGCGCCCACCCCAAGGACAGAAACACCATTCGTTTCGTTAACACTGTGGCATCCTTTCTCCCTGCTCCCATCTCCAGCAAGAACCTGGCTGCAAAGAGCCACTTGAGCCCTTACCAACAGTAACAAACCTCACCCAAGCAGTAGTCTTTATCAGTAGTTAGAGCTCCTTGCTTATGTTGGGTATTAAATTGTTCTTTCTTTCAAAGCACTATTTTCATCAGATGGTCTCTTCTCTGAAAAAATAACCCAAACCAAAGCATAACACTTAGGGCCAGGTTTGTAAAAGCTATTAGGCTTCTGCTTAATTTAAATGCATAACAGCAGGCAGCTCAGGCTAATTCTCTACTTGAGCACACAGGCTCTTGATTTACACATACAAGTGGAACAGCTTTTGCAGATGCATGTCTTGCCTCTTGTTCTAGCCTCCTCGTGTTTTAATAACTTACTTTTACTTATGACTTTCTTAATTCAGAATTAAATTACACAATCATTTAGCACACAGACTGCACTGACCGATTTCCTCCAGATGCACTGAAGAGTTCATTGGACTCCTTCTATCCAGGTCATCATCAGGGGGCCTATAGGGATGCTGGGGAGGGACTCTTCATTAGGGACTGTAGTGACAGGACAAGGGGTATATGGGGTCAAACTGAGACAGGGGAAGTTCAGATTGGATCTAAGGAGGAAATTCTTTCCTGTGAGGGTGGTGAGGCACTGGAATGGGTTGCCCAGGGAGGTTGTGAATGCTCTGCCCTGGCAGTGTTCAAGACCAGTTTGGACGAGGCCTTGGGTGAGACGGTTTAGTGTGAGGTGTCCCTGGTTTATTTTTGCTATAGAACCAGTTTTTTGCAATATCTTCTTTTTTTCTGGCATTGATTCCATGATTTCAGCTCGCTCTCAAAGCCCAAACTCCACAGGCAGGTTGCTGTCAGCTTTAGGTGGAGTTCTCACCTGATCAGAAGCTGGAGGAGGAAGTTTTATGGTCATACCCAGAGTGTGAGGCTTCAGGTTCTCCTGACACATCACTATTTCCAGATCGATTTCAGTCCAACGTGTACATTGCAAGTTGGAATTAGAAAACAGTTGATTTTCAAAAGCCCCTGTAAAGGAGAAAACATTGAAATAAAAATGGTAAAAAATTCTTCCCCAAGGATTAATACTGAAGCAACTGTTTTTTATTTAGTTATGTTTCTTATTTGACCTGACTGTATGTCAGAGCAGTAACTGCTACTTTCTAATCACAGCATCTAATCACAGAATAAAAGTCCTTATTGGTAGTGCATCATAGTTTTTCTGAGCTGAACAGAAAATACAATGTTCATCTGCCTACAATATTGAAAGTAAATAAAAATGAAATACACTGTGAGGATTACACCATATGGAATGTTTGGGAATGCTGGTGTGATTTGAAATGTAACAGCCCACTTTGCTGGTATTAGCAGGCCACGAAATCATATAAAAAGTAAAATAAAACCAAACAAAACCACCAAAAAAACCCAACAGAAGAAAAAATACTGAGTTACAGAAGAAAAATGTGCTTTTGGACCTTTTCTCACACAGAAAATTTCTGTTCTGCATTTAGTCCCAGCCCACTTTTGGGATTATTAAGGAGAAGCCTTTTCACGAACTGTACTAGTTAGTGGTGTGGTGTAACCTGGGATGCAGCTTAACACCACACAGACCTTTGCTCTCTTCCCCCAGATGGAAAAAAAGGTAAAGGAGCTTTATAGATTAATAGGGCAGAAAAGACAGCGAAAATAATACCGATAAAAGAATATATAAAACAAGCAACACCCAAGACAGCTGCTCTCCTCATGCTGACTGATGCCTATTGTAGGCACTGCTCAGCAACAACAAAAACATGTTTTCATTGTTGATATCAACACTATTCTTATCCTAACTCCAAAACGCAGCACTGGGGCAGCTACTAGGAAGAAAACAAACTTTATCCCAGCTGAAACCAGGGCATCAGTCAGTAGTGAAACCCTTCGCAGACCAAGCCTGACCAAACCAACATCTGGCAGTTTGCTCATCCCAAACTCAGTTGGCTTCTTCAGCTTCCACCTGTGTGAGCTGCTGTTCAGGCTCTGTCAGACAGTTCAATGGGTGAAGCTTTGCAGCAACTTCAACCACAGCTTAGCTCCATCACATGCCCTTGGAGTAACCAAACTGGTGACCTTGTCCTACAACCCCACTGGTGGTCAGAAATGGCCCTGGGGCAGCTGAGATGCCGAGGGTAAGGAAACCAAGGCCACTGGTGGATGTGATGTGCTGGAGATGAGGACAGGCCCAGACTTGTGCAGTGCATGCTGCAGTCTGGGTGGGTTCAGCTCTTGGACAGAACAGGGAATTTCTGTCTCTCCAAACAGCCTACAGCGCCTGGTGCACAGCAGAAGAGGTCTTGGGGTTGCCTCACTTTTGCCTGTTCTCTACCCAGGTATTTGGCAGGTGAGGATGGACAGTTGCCGGTCTTTGACTCCCTTTGCAGTCTGTGCTTTTCAAGAATTAAATCATTTCACTGTTTCAGCCTTCACTTGCAGATGAGTGCACATTGGATTCAAGGAACAAGGAAGAGAAATAATGATGGAAACAGCCCCAAATGAAAGCAATGCGGTTAATGATCAATAATACACTGCCATCACCACAGCTTAAAATGTTTTCCTTCCACTGAATGCTCTGTTCATTAGAAGGAACTTAAATTTCACTGGCTGTCAGGTACTTTCTCCCAGCTGAAACTTTCAGACAAGATCTGTGTTACGACATCACCATAGAAGTCATATGGAGTTATGGTCCTACTCCCTAATGCCGGCTGTAGGGATGGATATAATGTATCCTAAAATGAGCTTTGTTTGAGGTATTTCACTGTCATATCAAAAGAATATCCCATCCTGCAAAGAACACACCCATAGGATTTTTGCTTCATAGACTC